GAATACTCTCTCTCTCTCTCTCTCTCTCTCTCTCTCTCTCTCTCTCTCCCTCCCTCCTTTCCCTCTCTCCCTCCCTCCCTCCTTCCTCCCCCCTTAAAATAGCAGCCTTTTTGTGCCTAATGCTTTTTCTGCACGTTTAACAACTTTTAAAAATGATTATATGTCAAAATGATAGGGGTATAGTTTTTAGTTTAAGTGTAAGTTTTCTGCCCACTTTCATAGACATGCACTCTTTCTTCCTAGACTTAAGCTAACCTTAAATGATACAAATAACACGCCGTGCCAAGGCCCCACTACATCAACACTTGTTTGTTGCAGCCAGCCGGGTGTGTTTCCGGAGACTTTCCCTGCACCCTCTTCGCCACTGTCCCACTCCGAAGTCCAGTGTGTTCCTTGCCATCTACCTCTCCCTAGGTCCCCCTGGTCCAGTCCGAGGCGTTCCTCGTCGACCTTCTGGATAAAGTGTGTGAGCGGATGAACGATTACCAGCTCGAAGAAGACCCTATGACTAAGGAGAAGTATTTCCGGAGATATGCTCCAAGGAAAGGAGACAAGATATACAAAGAATATAAGAGGTTCTATTACTACTCTGATGCCTACAAACCTCTGAAATTCGCGGTAAGCTCTCTCCTGCAAGAGGAACCATGTGACCTGTGAGCCTGGGGTGGGTACAGTCTTTGTCCTTTGCTGCTTTCTTGTTGCTGAGTTGCAATACACGGAACAGTAGAACAAATTCAGTGACAACTGTTTGGTTGTTTTGCTGCTGCTGGCTAACTATGTATTTAGTAACTCTCTTTTTGAGACACCTGAGAGCTTATGGAACCCCAAAATGATCCATGGAGAGACCAAAGTGATATTTTATGGAGGTGCCATCCCCAGGTCCTAGTGACTTGAATTCAGTATGTTCAAGTGACCTTGTTCTGGTGCCCAGGGAGGTCTGACAGGTCTGCATATAAGGATGGGGGTTGTAGTTTAAAAATCTAAATGGAAAAGAGTATTATTTTCAAATGTTTTAGAGCCAAATGAAGGTGGGGTAGTGATGTCATCATCTCTTTCCTCCCAGGCTTCACAGAAGAGACAGATTTTTCCCTCTTAGTTAATTGAAGAATTTTAGCACAAACTAAGTTAAACAAAGGATTAGGTAGGATAGTTGGCATAAAGCCAAATTTTCTTCCAATATAATGTTGATTTTACATGAATGTTGACCTCTAGCTTGCTAGAAAGTGCCTGGCAGAATATATTGCAATATATATTTCCCTTTACTTAATGCTGTTGAATCACACACAGTGATGGGCAGGCCTATTTAAAAAATGTATTAAGTTCACGTGTTGGCCAAAATGTCAGGCCTTCTGAAAGCCAGAAATGAGGGCTGTGGTTGATATTTGGAGATATCATTTTAATTAAAAAGTGAGGGCAGTAATGCAGAGTTCAAAGTACCAAGGAATAGGAATGAGAATGTTCGTGTGTTTGTGTTGCAATGGTTTTAAATAAACACATTAAGGTGGGATTTAAATATTCTTAAATGCCACTTAAGATTTTTCAGGTCTTGCTTAATGATCCCAGAAACTGATTCACAAGTCTCTCATGGATGCCCTTCAGGAACTCAGACTTATTGAACATGCCACTTTGTAGATCTTTAACGAAGAACCATCTTAGTTGTAACTTAAGATTTTCTGATCCAGGGGAAAAGTTGAGCTCCCTCTGCCCTACAACGTCAGGATTTGTTTTTGGTTTGTTTGTTTTTAAAGCAAAGTGAGATTTTTGTCTGGATCTCTAAAAAGTATGAAAAGAAACTTCTCTAACTATCAAACAGGTTCTCCACAGTGAAATTGAAAATGTGTTTGTTTTGATCACTGTGAAGGCTTGTTTTTACACCTTCAAACCCCAAACTGGATTATTATGTTAAATCAAAAGGAAGTAGGTCCACCACCTCAAAAGCTATGTTCTTTAAATTGTTTTTAAAAACAGAAAACTCAGATTTTTCAGCTCCTTACATAGGAAACCCATTTCTTCTTATGACTTGCATTTTGAGTTTTAGGAAGAGAAATACAAAGAGCCCTTTCCTTCCTCATCCTCATGCGTTTTTCAACATGACTAATGATTTGGTTAAGTCCAGGGAAATGATGCAATTAACATTCTGGAAAGAGGGCTAATCCGAGGCCATGATGAATTAAGCCAAAAGTGACCCCCAAATATAGGCCGCCTTGGCTACGTGATCTCATATGCACAATAAAATGTTGCTAAGTCCTTCCAATAAAATGCCCTTCCCGTGTGTATCCAGACCCGTAGTGTGTTGCTATTATGTCTCTGCAGTGCGAGAATATAATAGAAGAGTACGAAGATGAAATATTCTCACTTATCGTGCAGGAGGCACACAACTTCGCTGACAAGATGTGCAGTGGAAAATCAGGTACTGTGTCTGATGTAACATGTGCTCGCAGCCCGCACCCACGCCTCCGCTCAGCCGAGCACAGCTTGTTCGCAGACCCGGCCTCGCTGCCTCCTGCCAGCCTCGCTCTGGTGCGGTGTTCTGGGATCCCTATGAACTGGATCCGCAGAAACCGTAGCGCTGGAGGCTTTCCCCGCTGTACTTCCTTCCTCTGCCTTTCAAAAGGTTAAGGAACCCATTCTTGTTGAGAATTAGGTGACTCTAAAGCACTTGCTTTAAAAGAAAAAAGCAACTTTTAAAGATAGAATTTTCCATCCTGTTTCAAGCAAGGAGAAGCTCTTGACTTAAGTATCTGCTCTATCAGCAGAAGGTAGAATTTTTATTTCGTAAGAAAAAATGTTAAGTTTTTGCTTGTTTGTTTATCTGGGGCAGGGTATTCTGATTATTTGGGGGGGGTTCCTTTCCTAGAGTGTCTACATCTTTTAAAAAATGGTTTTTTTTTCTGGCTTAGTGGGTAGAAAATAACACTAGACTCATATTCTGAGATACACACACGGTGCATAGGCATACTTGGAAGCCACAGGGAATAAGCAGAGTTATTTATTACATAACAAGGTGGGGCCTGGGACTGCTGGCCCTGCCCTCCCTATGGCTGAGCTGAAATTCAGTCTTGTCACTTTGATAATGTTTAATACAGGCATTCTTTTCAGGTATATCTGGGAAGAAGAGGAAGGGATATATATATGAAGATAGCAATTCAAAGGCAGCAGTCTACTTTTTAAGCCATATGCGAGCTGGAGACATTTAGCATTTCAAGAGTTTACCAGAAAGTATAGTGTGCACACAGGCACACACATGTCTACTATATCAAACAGTGCCAGTGTCCTTAAAATGCCACTTACATGTGTGTAGATAAATATTGACATCAAAAGTTATTAGGCAAAGATCATGAATTCACCACTATAAGAACAGTGAAAGTTTCCTTACTGAGTACATAGATGGGTTGTTTTCTATTTAAAATCTGGTTTCAACTGGAATTTGCAAAAGAATCCAGTGAAATGTCATAGTGGAGATTGTTCAGCAATTTGAGTTTTTTTTTTCATTGATGTTGGATATGTAATGTAGAAGTTTGTGAGATAAGTTCATAGCCAAACTTCCCAAAGAAAGCAGTTTTGAAAATTTTCAAACAATTCAGCAAAGCAGGTGTGCAGATACACGTACACAGGCAATGGATCATGTTTGAAATAGTTGTTTTTCTATTTATTTTCTTATAGAGGGTTTGGATTTGTCATAATCATCTGCTATAAATGCACATAATTTGCTTTGTGAAGACCTACTCAGGTGATCAGAAAAGCTTGAGTTTCACTCACTGTTCAGGACAGTGTTGCCCCTAGTTCAAATTCTGGGGAAGACTGTTCCCAAGTTCAGCATCTTGACTGAGTTTCCATAATGTTAATCACTTCTCTGCATTCCTTCTACATAGTAATAATTGGAAATTTTAAAAATATCAACTCTGAAAAAGCATAAGCTTAAAGAATATACCTACTATGTGAGCAATATTGCTAATTTGAAATAAAACACTAGGTGAGCTGCATCCCCTGAAAAAACCTCCTATGGAAGTAAGTTAACGTGGTAGAGAACTTTTCCATACTGAAATATTACTGCTGGAAAAAGCTGAAGCACCCAGCGATAACAATCCCAGTGAGTGACTGTGGGGACAGCAAAGAAGTGATGTATTTTAATGTATAGGGACAGTTTTGACCACTGTGTGAAACATGAGACTTTCATATTACAGAAGAACTCCAGGTGCCCTGAAATATGAATGCAATAAGTTCCTACCAGAGCAGGTAATGCCTAGCCTGTCTTGGTGAGGTGATACTGCACCTTACTACATGGTACAACACTTTGCCATGCTAGGATCGCCTCAGTTGAAATGTCTCAGAGGGTTGGTGTGTGTGTGTGTGTGATTATGAAACTGTACATTTGTAACTGTTTACTGAGTGTACACTACATGCAAGATGCTGTACTGAGATCTTGTAAAATGTTTACCTATTGCTTTTAGAGAGATCAATAATCATTTAGAAAATAGATACTTCTATAACTAGACATTTGGGGGTTTACTTTCTGCATTTATTATAAGCTTGGCATTATATGAATTTTGCTTTTTTCTACTTAATGCAGATTGTTCACTTTATCTGTAATAGTTACATATGAGCAGATGAAGGTATGCTCACAGAGTCTTCAAAATATTGAGGTTCTCGTATTCGCCCCCTTACACAAAAATAAATGAGGTGTAATGGAGAAAACATACCGTGTATTCAATTTAAGATGGGCATGTTTGAATTAAGAAACAACACATCAGTGAGCTCTGTGCACATTCTTGTTGTCTTTGACGATGTCTGCCATCTCAGTGAAGAGCCCAAGGCTTTAGGAGTCTGGGGTTGCCACCACGGCTTTCAGCACCAGTGAAGAGGAGTTGCTAAGGTCCCTCTCCTCTTGGCAGAAACAGGGGAACAGGGCTCCTTCACATGGTTTCTTTTTCCTAGGCAAAAATTAAAAGTAAACAACTAGATTTAGCCAAGTAATGTTCTGTGTCATAGAACCCAGGTGTTTCCAGGTGGTCCTTTTGCTATTTTAAGGTGAAAATGATTAAAATCTTAATGCAGGATGTGATTAAAACATTACTATATTCCACTCCAGGTAGAAAGTGTACAGTTGTAGATTATAAATGAATAGACACTATTATGTTTGTGGAAGTATTTGTTAGACTCTGCAGGGTATAAATAGAAATATATAAATATCTTCACTGCCCAGCACTTCTGCTCTGAGTCCAAGTTTTAACATTTAAAAACATTGTAATTGCATAATTTAACACATATCCATTTTAAAGGCAGTATATAGAATAAGGTAGCAAGTATCTGGAAATGTTTCACCTACATTAAACATAAAAGCATCACCAGTTTTGTCTATCCCTCCTAACCCAGATGGCGAACATTAAATTCTAAAATATAAAATAATTATGTTCAAAGGCTAGCGTATTTCAAATCAGCTATGGAGCTAAAACCATGACTAGCCTTTCTGAATAGAATAGGCATTTGTTGTTTTCATTCGGAAAAGTAGTGTGAATCAAAACACCTAACTATCTCTGGGATTAAAGCCCAGTGTCCAGTGCTCCTTCCAAGTTGCGAACTATCTCTGAACCAGTGTTCTTTAAATATCCCTACATTGCTGGGGATTTAACTCAGTGGTGCCATGCTTGCCTTGCAAGTACAAGGTCCTGAGTTCAATCCCCAGTACCAGAAAAATAAATAAATAGATATCCCCACACCCATGGGTGAAATGACACAATACTTGGCCTTACTTTAAAATACTCTGGTCAAAACCAAGAGGATGAGACCAGAATAACAGTGTCAATCACCGTGGAAGTGGGTTTGTAGACCAGAGGAATAGATTACAAGCTTCTTTCTACTTTTGTGCATATTTGAACATTTCCATAATAAAAGCTGAAAAATATGTCTCAACAGCATGTACTTTTTGTGGAATGTAAATGACTTAATGGCCTGGTGTTTGATTCGCTAGTAATGCTATCTAATTTTTTTTCCCAGATCTGTGTGGCGCCTCGGCTAATCACACTGAATTCTAGAAATGATGTTCAACTCGTTCTAGAGAGAAAGCAAAGTCACAGCTCCAAAGGTCAATGTCTGCATTTGTGTCTGCATGTCTTTCATGATAAGAAAATTTGTCTTGTTTATACTAGGTTCATCTCATGCATGATATTGTTTTGAAAATTTGTTTGGCATCGTGACAAACCCTTACTCTTTCTGTAGGTGAAGCCAAGGAGAAGTTCATGAAACTTAAATTTCCTTTGCAGATTTGGACCAAACAGGCTTAGCAGTAAAGCATTAAATTTGGTTGTGGGGAAAGAAAGCAAAGCTATTTCACAAGAAAATAGGGATTTAAAAATATACACTGTATATTTCATAGCAAAGATACATACACACATACAAATGATTTGATTTCTCAAATACTTGATTGGGCACAAATTTAGGGATCTCTATTGCAAGTAATTTCAAATTTGGTCCTCTGAAAGATTCTGTATGATATTGGGAAAAAGAATGAAGCCACTTTCATCAGGAATGAAATCTAGATTTCAAGTTTAAACTACAATTTAAAAACTGAAACGCTAAAAATCTCTAAAATTTAGTGGAATGCAAAAAATAATGAATACTCTTTACATTGAGCAGTACTTGAGTCCAAATGATTTGTAGAATGGATTTATCACAACATTGTGTATTAAAAGATGATAGCAGTGATGATGTTTTTTTGTGTTTCAAAGCCCCTGGGCTCTTTTCTAAAGATTTTTGGCTAACATTGAGTGTGTAGATATTACTGTTGAATAACGTATCAGTATCATTCTTCTAACAGGAATGATTTTTGGTGTTGTGGAGATAGAAGGGGAGGGTGGTGTGGGAAATCCACTATACTTAATACAATGCAAAGTATAGTACTTTTGGGTATTTAATTGTCTCTGTTAAATTTGCATTCAATGGAATTGAATTCAACTTTAATTATTTAGCTTGTTAGGGGACAGACTACACTTGTTTTAATAAAGAAATCCTTTTGGTTGCCAGGGAGGATTGAGTGGGTAGCTCTGTGCAAATTCTGCACTGAAAAAGCTAAAATTGTGGGCCCTATTGTTGCACAATTGCCTAGAAAGTACACCACACCATTCCACTGCCTCTTCAGCCTGAAGCTATTCTTAAATGTAGGAAAATTTTCCAAAACTAAGGAGATGGGATATCCATTTTCTCCCTTCTCCCACTCTTATTAGAAGTCAGATTATAGATTAATGACACTTATTTCGAAGTCTGAGAGACCATGTGGGTTTGTTTGTTGACTGGTTGGTTGTTTTTTTTGGCACTCTGATAGCTACTTGAATGTTACAGATCCTACGGTCACCTCATCAACCTACACCCCATCTGACACACAATGGAAATAGGAGTTAGGGGTACTTGGCACCATTTTTCAGCAGGGAAGTAAAATTGTAATGTACACTTGGTCCCTATATCTTTGTTCAAATTCATTCTTTGATATTAATTTGTCATTTGAAATAATAATCCATGGACAGTTTCCTAACTTGGGCTCTCTTGGTAAATGCATGAAGGCTGACCATGATTTCTCGAAACACAAGTGACTTTCATGGAAACCAGGAGGAGACCATGGCACAAAGGAAGCTTCCAGGAAAACTGTAAGGACTAGAATTGTAGAAGTGTTACATATTCCTTTTTACACCCTCAAGTACAACCAGAGTGAGTTCAGGAAGTGTGGGTCCTGTTTCCTACCCTAACTAGTGCAGAGGGAGAGTGGTGCCTTCTGTCCCAGGTGAGGATTTTCATTTATGTTCATGCTTCTGCCTTGGACAGAGAGAACCAGACACCTGCATTTATAGCCAATACAACATTTTGCCAAATATGGCTTTAAAAGTTTTTTTCTTGGGCTTCCCAGAAAAGGAGTCTTGTATCTTTTATGTTACAATATTTTTCAGAACTTATCACTTGCATTTTTTTTTCGTTCCAGACATTTTCCCAGGTCAGACTTGTTGAATTTGTGTAAATATTTGTGAAAACTCATCCATGTGTTCAGGGGTTCCCCAGCTCCCGCTGGGTGACTGTGGACTGCTATGCTTTCCCTGTGAGCAGGAATGAGACAGAGGAGGTGGGTCCCTCATACCCACTTCACACCACGTTCCTGCCTTTTAAATGACATTTAAGAACCAAAACCAGGAGCGGCCCAAAAAGCTAGGAAAGGAAAGATAGAGTGAAAAAGAAGCAATGCAACATGTAGAGTGTGAGAGGAAAGTTTCTTAAAGTTAACCAAATTCTTGGATAAAAAAATTCTTGGAGAAAAGGGGGACTGCTTGTTAAAACAGTGAGCAGAGGAGGCAGTTTGAAGCTGATTGCTTCAGGTTGTGATTTTGTGGGACAGTGTGCATGGGTCTCAATGAAGACCTTGCATGATTCTGTCCTCAGACCATAGTGGCCTGGAGAAGCAGTGCACCTTTATTTTGTGGATCACTATTTTGCTGAGAATAAACCAAGACCAATGAATCCATTTCACTGAGGAGTAGAGAGGAGAATTGAGCCAAAGTCCCACTGGGGAGAGATCAATACTTTATTCACTACAACAAGCCCTAAAAAAAAGAGTCAATAGCTGGCTATATTTTTATACCTATTTCTTGGCTTAGGTTGATATTTATTCATAGATATAATAGCTTTATGAAAATAAAAAAGTCTTAAATTTCAGATCCTAATGAGACGTGAAAAAGCCTTTGCTGGTGTGATGTTTTGTTCTGCTTTTAAGCTTGATACAGATCTTCGAGCACACACTGAACGTGTGGAAGCCCACTCCGCAACACCTTGCAGAGTTTGATACCAAGATATGCTTTGCACTAGTGTCACATCATCACAATGAAAATGCACCCATAGGTCTTTATTGTGATTCTCCACCTGTGATTTAATTCCCCTTTATAAGTTCTTAAATTCCTCAGATTACTTGCCTTTAAGAGCAAGGAGCTAAGTGAATCAACAGATCAAATGCAATAAGTGAACTTGAAATATATAAGTTATAGAAATTGCACTAGAATCACCCAGAGAAAGAGCCTGTGAAAAGCATTGTTCTCTCCTGCAAGTTTGTTGCTTGCCTCGTCCCTACCTGGGTGGGAGCTCGCCGAGGAGGAAGGCTCTGTCTCATGGCTCGCTCTGTCAGAAGACAGAAGTAGCAATGGGATTATATTTGGTGCAGTATGGCTCATTTTCTGCAGGGTCCTCAGTCAGGACAGTTTGTAAAAGTGGAGTCGGGAACATCAGATGCAGCTTTCTATCCTCTAGAGAAGGGTTCTGCAGGAAGGCCCAGAAATGGATAGATGGATGGATGTATGGATAGATAGCTAGATGGATAGATGGATGAATGGAAAGAACCCAATGTATAGTTACACATGTACAATCGCATATACATAGGTAAATAAAGTCAGGATACAGGAAACCAGCCAGAGCTTTGCTTCTCCAGGGTGGAGATCTCAGAGAATCAGTGTCTGGGAATTCCTTTAATTCCTTATAGAAAATACATGATCCCTATGTTCTTTACCTGAAAAATTATCCCAAGATTTTTTTTTTTTTTTTTTTG